GCTCCCTTTCCAGGGGAGTGAACTGCTCTGTCTTGCTGGCATTCCAGGTGCCACTGGGGTATGAGAAAAAAAAATCCTGCAGCTAGCTCAGTGTCTGCCCAAACGGCCGCCCAGTGTTGTGTAGAAACCCAGGGCCCTGGTGTCGTAAGCACCTTAGTGAATCTTCTGGTCTTGGGTTGCAGAGGCCGTGGGAAAAGTGTAGTATCTGGGCTGGGGTGGAGTGCTCCTCACAGCACAGTCTCTCATGGCTTCTGTTAGCTAGGTGAGGGAGATCCTTGACTCCTTGTACTTCCCAGGTGAAGTGACGCCCCACCCTGCTTTGGCTTGCCCTCCATGGGCTGTACCCACTGTCTAACCAGTCCTAATGTGATGAACCATGTATATCAGTTGGAAGTGCAGAAATCACCACCTTCTGTGTTGATCTTGCTGGGAGTTGCCGACTGGAGTTCCTATTTGGTATCTTGCCAGGTCTACTTTTGCTTCTTATAAGCAGGGGAGGGCACTAGTAGTCTTTAGTCATCTAAATCCATTTTCAGTAATTAGGTGATTCACAAATGAGCTGCTGGATCTGGGATTGTCAGTCTCCTTCTGGTTTACTCTTACTCCTAGAATATAGTCAAATAGTAGCAATTTAGTATTAAGATGTATTTTTAATCAAAACAATTATTTAACTTTGTTTCATTAATAAAATATTATACCAATTTATTAATATTTTGTAGAAAACACTCAGAGTGGATGGAGAGGCTATGCTAAACCCGAGGCTAAAGAATGAGGCAGTTGTGAAACCTGTGTGTGGTGCTTGAATGCCAGGGTAATTCCCTGCCACACAGAGGCATACCCAGTTCCCTTAATTTCCCCTTTTCCCAGAAGCTGTGTCAGGGAGCTGAGGGACAGCTCGCTCTTGCCCTGGACCTCTGAGATCCTAGCTATAGGGGAGCCTATGTCTCCTGTGTATGAGCTGGCAGGGTGATCTCCCTGAAAAGCAGGCAGAAACAGGCTTTTGGACAACATAATGCCCAGGAGTTTTTGTGCACTGGGCAGCTCCAGTAGAGGGCAGCTACATACACCCATCCCCCAGGTTTCTCCCTATCCCTCTGGGAGTCAGGGGCACCACGTGACTTTGAGCTAAGACAGTGGGTCCAATTTCCTTGAGGAACTGTGATGCATCTGCTCCACAAGCCCTTCTGCCCACTGGCCCCTCCCAAGGTCCGTGTTTAGCTACCTTGCAGGATTGAGTGCACATTGCAACCCCCACAGCCCAGCCTGAGTGTTTTGCTGCATCTGAGTACTTTTCTGGTACCTGAAGAGCACAATGGATTGCCCCAGGATAGCTGGAATGCAAACATGAGCCTCTGTGGGATGTCCTGGTGCCCCAGGGCTGTAGCATGTAGTTTGGGAGTGTGGTGCCAAGATCTGCAGCTGGCATTTGAGTGAGGGAGAAACCTACATCTTCAGAACACTGAGAAGAGTGAGATGAGCAGGCTCTTGGGCAAGGGCGGAAACACGGAATTCCTCCTTCCACAGGGCCAGTCCAGAGAGAGTGTGGCACATCTCCCTCCTGCAGCCTTGCACCTAACAAAAGATGCCTGGGCACAGTGGCAGCGATCAGAGCAGGCTCCCTCAAGGATCAGGAGTGGACCTGGTGAGGGAGCCATCTCTCTCCCCTACCCTACACAGAGCATGCCTAGGAACAGTAGGTATTAACCTGGCTACCGGTCATTACTCTTAAACCCCATCATAAAAACACACATAAGCACATAGCCCACATGGCCTAAACCACAGCAGCAAAAACTTATCCCACTTATATATGCACTTGTGAAAACAAACACAAGAATTCACCTACACATAAAGATTCTATACAGACTTTGACCCTCTGAAAGCATCTAGAAATAAAGCCAATTGAATATATTCAACTTACACCAAGTTAAAGGAACACCAACCCTTCCAGATGAGAAAGAATCAGGTAAGAACTCTGACAATCCATGGGTATGGTGGTGCACATCTGTAATCCCAATACTTTGGGAGACCAAGGTGGGTGAATCACGAGATCAGGAGAGGAGACCATCCTGGCTAACATGGAAAAACCCTCTCTCTACTAAAAATACAAAAATTAGCTGGGCGTGATGTCATGTGCCTGTAGTCCTGGCTACTTGGGAGGCTGAGGCAGGAGAATCGCTTGAACTCAGGAGGCAGAGGTTGCAGTGAGCTGAGAGCATGCCACTGCACTCCAGCCAGGGCGACAGAGCAAGACTGCATATATATACATACACAAAACAATTCTGGCAATCCAAAAAGCCAGAATATCCCCTTACTTCCAAACAAGTCCATTAGGTCCTCACTAATGATTCTTAGCCAGTCTGAAATGACTGAAACATCAGACATCGAATTAAGAACCTGAATGACAATGAAGCTCATCAAGATTCAAGAAAGACTAAAATTTCCTCTAAGGAATCCAACGAATCCAGTAAAATAATCGAAAAGCAGAAAGATAAAATAGCCATTTTAAGAAAGAACCAAACTGAACTTCTAGAGCTGAAAAACTCCCTTCAAGAACATAATACAATTGGAAGTCTTAGCAGCAGAATAGACCAAGCTGAGGAGAGTATCTTAGAGCTTGAAGACTGGTTCTTTCAGTCAACTTAGACAAAAATAAAGAAAAAAGAATTAAGAAAGATAAACAAAGCCTCAGGAAAATATGGAATTATGTAAGGAAACCAAATCTACAACTCATTGTCACGCCTGAAAGAGGAGAGAGAATGAGAAGCTTGGAAAATACATTTGAGGATATAGTCCATGAAAAGTTCCCTAATCAGAGGTGGACATGCAAATCCAAGAGGTACAGAGATACCCAGCTAGATACAAGATGACCAGCCCAAGGCATAGTTATCAGCTTCACCAAAGTTAATGCAAAAGAAAAAAATCATGAAGACATCTAGAGATAAAGGGCAGGTCCCATACAGGAGGGAACCTCATCAGGCCAGTAGCAGACATCTCCATAGAAACCTTACAGACCTTCAGAAGACATTGGTGGCCTATTTTCAGTATCCTTAAAGAAAATAATTTCAACAGAGAATTTAAAATCCACTCAAATTTAGCTTCATGAGTGAAGGAGAAATAAAATCCTTCATAGACAAGCAAATGCTGTGGGAATACATTTCAACTACACTAGCCCTATGAGGTTCCTAAGAGAGTCGTAAGAGAGTATGAAGGGAATCGAAAGAATAACATCTGCTACCACAAAAACACACATAAGCACGTAGCCCACAGGCACGATAAAGCAGCTATGCAATCGAGTCCACATAACAACAGCTAGCGACATGATGACAAGATCAAAATCACACATGTCAATACTAACCTTGAATGTAAATAGGCTAAACACTCACACTCAAAGGGCACACAGTGGTAATCTAGATAAAAAGATAACACCCAACCATCTGTTGTCTTCAAGAGGCCCATTTTTTTTTTGTTTTTGAGATGGAGTCTCACGCTGTCACCCGGGTTGGAGTGCAATGGCGCAATCTTGGCTCACTGCAACTTCTGCCTCCTGGGTTCATGTAATTCTCCTGCCTCATACCAAAATCTGGCAGAGACATGACAAAGTAAAAAATCTTCAGACCCATATTCCTGATGAATAATAGACACAAAAATTAATTTCTCTTTCTCTTTCTTTCTTTTCTTTTTCTTTCTTTCTCTTTTTCCCTCCCTCCCTCCCTTCCTTCCTTCCTTTTTTCTTTTCTTTCTTTTTTGAGATGAAGTCTCACTCTGTCACCCAGGCTTGAGTGCAGTGGTGTGACATAAGCTCACAGCAACCTCCGCCTTCCGGGTTTATGAAATTCTCCTGCCTCAACCTCCTGAGCAGCTGAGATTACAGGCATGCATCACCACGCCTGACTAATTTTTGTATTTTTAGTACAGATGGGGTTTCCCCATTTTGGCCAGGCTGGTCTTGAACTCCTGACCTCAGGTGATCCACCTGCCTCAGCCTCCCAAAGTGCTGGATTACAGGCATGAGGCACTCACCTGGCTGACAGAAAAACTTCAACAAAGTACTACCAGCGTGTTGGGGTGGTGGCTGCTATCTCTTTACAGCACTCTCCTTAAGTGTCTGTAAGTGGCCTGGACACCTCAGGCCACTCATTTTATTGGGCATTAATGTCCATAACCTGTCCACCAACATTGAGATCTACAGAATTTAACATTGTGGGGCTCTGTGCTGACACAGTCGTTCCAGGGTGGTTAGGGGTTCCTCTGTGCATCATCATGGCTGGGTGGTGGGGATGGCTTGGCAAATATGAATGCATTGGGGATCTATGTCTTAATTGAGTAGGGCGTGGGGTCATCTGGAGAGGAGTGTAACTTGGCTGTGCCATATTCATTCCCATAGGACCACCATGAGAAACGCAGTCCCCTGGCATGCTCTGCAAACCTGCAGACCAGATCCCCATGTGTTGCTGACCATCTAACACAAAGCTTCCCATGGGCTGACCCTCTGGACTATACACTGCTCTTTGGCTCACTGCTCAATTTGACTGGTCAGTCATGGGCTGTGCTGTTCTTCTTTTGGCGTTAATAAACCAGTTGTTTACTTGGAGAACTGGAAGTCCTGTGTCTTGCGCTCTTTCTTCTGCTCTTTGGAAGGGTAAGGATGTGTGAGATGCTGGAAGAGCCATGCTCTCATGATATTTGTTGCTACTTTGGGGAAAATGCCTCTTTTCTTCTGGTGTTTTTTGTCCTTATCTGGATCATCATCGCCATCTGTACCAGGTGAAGCTACACTGTTGTCTAAACCAACTCCTTGCTCACTGCTGTTGTCTCAGCTCTGGGAGGCATGGCCCCCACTGGAGGGCCCTGAGGTGGCTGTTGATTGGGTTGAGGTTGCATCATTGTGGTCTCACCAAGAAGAAGGGTTATGGTCAGCGAGATTTGTGGAGGAGGCTGAATGCTCTTCATGATCTGACTTGGTGCTGCTATCGTTTTCATCAATGACAAGATTGATGGGCATTTTCCCCTTCAAACAGCTAAGGCATCAGTGGCAGAAGTTATTGCACAGTTCATGAACCTTTTCTAACTCCAAAAGATGAAACCTTAGTACTTGTATTGCTTGTATCATCAAATTGTCCAGCTCTGGATTTGAGGAGAAAAGTGGCTTTTTGGCATGAACCTGCTTGGCAAAGACTGTGATGTCCTTGTTGAAGGAGTCGGAGAAGCAGATGTCTCCGCTGGCCACTCCAGGTTCCCGGGGAGTGCAGGTTGCCAGCTCGCACTTCTCAAAGACCAGAGCTAACAGAGGAAACAATGGGTGCCCATAGATCGCGTCTTTGTCCTGCTTCAAGTTGTCGTTGACAGTGGATCCCATGCTGGCCAGCATGACATTGGGGTGCAGGGCATGCTGTGTGGCGTGGAGTGGCAGCCAGGGGTTCAGGTTGTGAACTAGGGGGATTGGCTGCAGCGGGTGAGGGTCTCTGTACATGGAATTGGGAACCCCTACTCCATTCATCCTGCCGTAATGGGGCAGCTCATTGTATTCTAGTTCATTTTCCCGTTACTCCCGGCTCCTGCTTAACTGGGTCATGTTGGGGATGTTTGGCATGGCACTCTTGCTTTTGCGCTTTTTAATTCCATGGCCTCCCTCTCCTCTGCCCACTGATTACAACACCCTGAAGGCTTCCTGCTAAGGTCCAAGGGCAGCAAGCTCTGCAGATGGTACCACTATTGGGGTAAATTTTTTATTAAGTGGCACTTTCTTTTCTGTGCAGATCCAGCAACCTTGCCAATACTCATTTTTTCTAGGACCAGAAGAGACAAACTTAACTCAGAGCACATTCCCTCCAAGCAGGGTGGACAAGGGGCCACCCTGAGCGTCTGTGAGGGCCATGGTGGAATGGGGAGGGAGAAAGTGAGGAGTGAGTCATTTGGGTCTGATATAGCCAAGGGCCCAGACTGCTTCGTTAAGTGGGACATTGATCCACTTCTCACCATGTGGGGCCTGCTTGCGGGAATTTCAGCATCCCCAGCCAGGGGTTTATGGACAGAACTCTGATATCCATGAGAGGAGCTCTTAGGAGGAGTGTGGGAGTTCAGTCAGGTTAGTGACAAAAATATTAAGGGAAAAGCATTAGAGAAAGTTATAGAATATAGTCACAAACCTTCTTGAAAGGACGAGAAGTTTGCATAGTTTCACTAGAAGTTTCAGCTGAAGGCAGCCTTATGCCCTTTACCTTTAGTTGATAAGAAAAGCAATTAGCTAGGGAATGTGGGGGAGTTTATCTGAATAACTTGTTTACTCATGTGGTTCTATAAACTAACCTTTGATTATTCCAAATGACTCTCTTGGCGGGAGGCCAACCAGAGATATTATCCACTAATGGTGTTTGCTTTAGGCCTCGAAACCTGTCCTTTAATCTCTACACCCTAGTGGTGTTGACTCAAGGCTTTTGTCATTTAATGTGTGCTGAATAAAGGCCAGAGAGGCCAGTGTGTTGGGGGTGGTGACTGCTATCTCTTTACAGCACTCTCTTCAAGTGTCTGTGAGTGGCCTGAACACCTTGGCCCACTCATTCATTGTATTCTGTGCGTGAGTGAATTTATTCATTCATTGTTGAGTCAGGTTCTGCAGGACAAACCCCTGCAGGTAGTGACCCCGAAAGAGGTGGGGCAGTTGTGTATCATGGATTAACAGTTTTAGTCTTTTCTGCCTGCTGGATCTGGAGAATCAGGGAAGCCTGGATGTGGAGGATTTCCCCAGCAAAGCACACCCACTCCACCAAGAGGCAGTCAGACTGCTTATTTAAATGGGTCCCTGATCCTGCTCCTCCTGACTAGGTGAGATGTCCCAACAGGAGTCTCCAGACACCTCATATAGGAGCATTCTGCCTGGCATTAGGTCAGTGCCTCTCTGGGACAGAGCTCCCAGAGGATGGAGCAGACTGCCATCTTTGCTATTCTGCAGCCCCCACTGGTCATATCTTCAGGGGCAGGAAGGAACCAGACGAATAGGGTCTGGAGAGAACACCAAGCAAATCTCAGCAGCCCTAGGAAAGAGAGGCATGACTGCTAAAAGAAACAATCAGAAAGCAACAACAACAACATTAACAAAAAAGACCCCACAAAACCCCCCTCCAAAGGTCAGCAGCCTCAAAGATCAAAGGTAGATAAGCCCATGAAAATGAGAAAGAATCAAAGCAAAAATGCTGAAAACTAAAAAAGAAAAAAAAACAAAAAACCAAAAAACAGAGTGTCTCTTCTACTCCAAATGATCACAACATATCTCCAGCGAGGGCACAGAACTGGGCTGAGGCTGAGATGAATGAATTGACAGAAGTGGGCTTCAGAAGATGGGTAATGATGAACTTTGCTGAGCTAAAGGGGTATGTTCTAATTCATTGTAAAGAAGCTAAGAATGATAAAACATTACAGGAGCTGTTAACCAGAAGAACCAGTTTAGAGAGGAATATAAATGACTCAACAGAGCTGAAAAGCACAACATGAGAACTTCGCAATGCAAACACAAGTATCAATAGCTGTATAGACCAAGCAGATGAAAGAATATCCTGTGGAGGTTGAAGACTACCCTGTGGAAATAAGGCAGGCAGACAAGATTAGAGAAAAAAATGAGAAGAAACAAACAAAACCTCTGAAATCTATGGAGTTGTGTTAAAAGACTGAACCTATGACTGATAGGGATACCCAAAAGACACAGGGAGAATGAAACCAAGTTGGAAAATCCACTTTAGGGTAATAACATCCAGGAGAACTTCCCCTACCTAACAAGACATGGCAACATGCAGGAAATACAGAGAAGTAAAATACTCCACAAGAAGATCAACCCAAAGACACATAATCACCAGCTTCTCCAAGGTAGAAATGAAGGAAAATACGTTAAGGGTAGTCAGAGAGAAAGGCCAAGTCACCTATAAAGGGAAGCCCTTCAAACTAATAGCAGACATCTCAGTAGAAATCCTAGAAGCCAGAAGACATTGGGGGCCAAAATTGAATATTCTTAAAGAAAAGAATTTCCAACTGAAAATTTCATATTCAGCCAAACTAAGCTTCGTAAGAGAAGGAGAAATAAAATCCTTTTCAGACAAGCAAATGCTGAGAAAATTCATCACCACCAGACCTGCTGTGCAAGAGGTCCTGAAGGAAGCACTAAACATGGAAAGGAAAAAGCATTACCAGCCACTAAAAAAACACACTGAAGTACACAGACCAATAAGACTATGAAGCAACTACATAAACAAGTCTGCAAAATAACCAGCTAACATCATGGTGATAGGATGAAATTTACACATAATAATATTAATTTTAAATGTAAATGGGCTAAATGACCCAGTTAAAAGACACAGAATGGCAAGCTAGATAAAAAGTAAAGATCTATTGGTGTGCTGTATTCAAGAAACCCATCTCACATGCAAAAAGACACACATTGACTAAAAATAAAATGATGGAGAAAAATTTACCAAGCAATTCAAAAACAGAAAAAAACAGGGGGTCTAATCCTAGCTTCTGACAAAACAGACTTTAAATCAGCAAAGGTAAAAAGAGACAAAGAAAGGCATTACATAATAGTAGACAGGTCAATTCAACAGGAAGGGCTAACTATCCCAAACAGATATGCACCCAATACAGAGCATCCAGATTCATAAAACAAGTTCTTAGAAACCTAAAAGAGGCTTAGATTCCCACACAATAATAGCGGGAGACTTTAACACCCCACTGTCAATATTAGACAGATCAACAAAAGAAAATTAACAAAGATATTCAGGATTTGAACTCAGCCCTGGATCAAGAGGACCTTATAGATATCTACAGAACTCTCCACCCCAAAGCAATTGAACATATATTGTTAGCTCCACATGGCATCTACTGTAAAATTGATCACATAATTGGAAGTAAATCACTCCTCAGCAAATGCAAAAGAACTGAAATAAAAATAGTCTCTCAGACCACAGCACAATCAAATTAGAACTAAAGATTAAGAAACTCACTGAAAACCACACAACTTCATGGAAATTGAACAACCTGCTCCTGAATGACTCCTGGGTAAATAATGAAATTAAGGCATAAATCAAAAAGTTATTTGAAACCAATGAGAAAAAAAGAGATAATCTACCAGATTCTGGGATGCAGCTAAAGCAGTGTTGAGGGAAATTTATAGCACTAAATGCCCACATCAAAAAGACAGAAAGATTTAAAACTGATACCCTAATGTCACAACTGAAAGAATGAGAGAACCAAGAGCAAACAAACCTAAAGCTAGAAGACAAGAAATAGCCTAGATTAGAGTGGAACTCAAGGAGATAGAGATAGAAAACACCCTTCAAAAATAATGAATTCAGGAGCTGTGTTTTTGAAAAAATTAATAAAATAGATTGCTAGCTAGACTAATAAGGAATGAGAGGAGAATCAAATAAACACAATAAAAAATAATAAAGGGGATATCACCACTGAAACCAAAGAAATACAACCAACCATCAGAGAACATTATAAACACCTCTATGCAAATAAACCAGAAAATCTTCAAGAAGTGAATAAATTTTTGGATACATACACCCTCCCAAGACTGAACCAGGAAGAAGTTGAATCCCTGAATCGACCAATACCAAGCTCTGAAATCGAGCAGTAATAAATAACATGCAAACCAAAAAATAGACCAGGACCAGATGGATTTACAGATGGATTCTACCAGAGGTATAAAGAGGAACTGGCATCATTTCTTCTCAAACGATTCCAAACAATTGAAAAGAAGGGACTCCTCCCTAACTCATTCTATGAGGCCAGCATCATCCTGATACCAAAGCCTGGCAGAGATACAAGAGAAAAAGAAAACTTCAGGCCAATATCCCTGATGAACATCAATGCAAAAATTCTCAATAAAATACTGGCAAATTGAATCCAGCAGTACATCAAAAAGCTTACCCGTCACTATCAAGTTGGCTTCATCTTCAGGATGCAAGGCTGGTTCAACATATGAAAATCAGCAAACATAATTCATCACATAAACAATTCTGAAGACAAAAAACACATGATTATCTTGATAGATGCAGAAAAGGCCTTCTATAAAATTCAATATTCCTTCATGTTAAAAACTGTCAATAAACTATGTATTGAAGGAACATACTCAAAATAGTAAGAGTCATTAATGACAAACTCACAGCCAATATTCTACTGAATGGGCAAAAGTTGGAAGCATTCCCCTTGTTTTCTACCTATATAGATTAAACTGGAACCACTGCAGAGAGATGGCACCTGCCTGCAAACAGCATTTCATCCAGGACACCTGCCCCTACAAGTGCTCCTCCAACTTTGGGCCCTGGACCCAGCAGGTGGATCAGAGCTGGTGCAAAGAGCAGGTACTGAACATGCCCCTGTACAAAGAGGATTGTGGGCAATGGTGGAAGGATTGTTGCACCTCCTACACCTGCAAGAGCAACTGGCACAAGGGCTGGAACTGGACCTCAGGATTTAACAAGTCCCCGGTGGGAGCTGCCTGTGTATCTTTTCATTTCTACTTTCCCACACCCACTGCTCTGTGCAATGAAATCTGGAGTTACTCCTACCAGGTCAGCAACTACAGCCAAGGGAGTGGCTGCAGCAGCCAGATGTGATTTCACCTGGCCCAGGGCAACCCCAAAGAGGAGATGGCAAGGTTCTATGCTGCAGCCTTGAGTGGGGCAGGGCCCTGGGTGGCCTCTCCTGCTCAGCATGGCCCTAATGCTGTTCTGGCTGCTCAGCTGACCTCCTTTTACCTTCTGATACCTGGAAATTCCCGCCCTGTTCAATCCCACGGCTCCCAACTAATTGGTTTCTGCTCCCTGGTTGGGCCTCTGACAGCCACTTTGAATAAGTCAGACACCCCACCTCCCCCACAAAAAAGAAAAAAACAACCCCCATAAATCCCATAGGCAAATGACATAAACAGATACTTCTCAAAAGAAGACATTCATGTGGTCAACAAACACTTCAAAAAAAGCTCAATGTCACTGATCATTAGAGAAATGCAAATGAAAACCGTAATGAGATACCATCATGCCAGTTAGAGTGGCAATTATTAAAAAGTCAAGAAACAACAGATTCTGGCAAGTCTGTGGAGAAATAGAAATGCCTTTACACTGTTGGTGGGAATCTAAATTAGTTCAACTGTTGTGAAAGATAGTGCAATGATTCCTCACAGAACTAGAACCAGAAATACAATTTGACCCAGCAATCACCTTACTGTATATATACCCAAAGGAATATAAATCATTCTGTTATAAAGATACATGCATGTGTATGTTCATTGCAGCACTGTTTACAATAGCAAAGACAGAGAATCAACCTAAATGCCCATCAATAATAGACTGAATAAAGAACCTGTGGTACATATACACCATGGAATACTATGCAGCCGTAAAAAGGAATGAGACTATGTCCTTTGCAGGGCCATGGATGGAGCTGGAAGCCATTATCCTCAGCATAAGTGGGAACTGACCATATAAGCGGGAACTGAACAATGAGAACATATGGACACAGGGAGTGGAACAACACACATGGTAGCCTGTTGGGAAGTGGGGTAGGGGAGGTGGAGCATTAGGAAAAAGAGCTAATGCATGCTGGGCTTAATACCTAGGTGATGGGTTGATAGGTACAGCAAACCACCATGGCACACATTTACGTATGTAACAAACCTGCACATCCTATACATGTACCCTGGAACTTATAAAAATTAAAATAAAAAAAGCATATCACAAAGAAAAAAAAAGACTCCACCAAATGAATATTAGAACTAATATCAGTTTTAAGGTTTCAGAATACAAAATCAACATGAAAAATCAGTAGCATTTCTCGACACCAATAATGTCCAGGCTGAGAATCAAATCAAGAATGCAACCCTGTTTACAATAGCCACAAAGAGAATGAAATACTGAGGAATACAGCTAGACAAGGATGTGAAAGATCTTTACAAGAAAATCTATATCACTGAAAGAAATCAGAGATGATGCAAATAAATGGAGAAACACACCATGCTCATGGAGTGAAAGAATCAATATCATTAAGACGATCATACTGGCCAAAGCAATTTATAGATTCAATGCTATTTCTGTCAAACTATCAATTCATTCTTCACAGAATTAGAAAAAACTATTACAAAATTCATACAGAACCAAAGAAGAGTCTCAATAACCAAAGCAAATTCTAAGAAAAAAGAACATAGGAAGAACATCACCCTACCTGACTTCAAATTATACTGTAAGACTACAGTAATCAAAACAGCATGATACTGATAACAAAAACAGAACCATAGACAAATGGAACAGAATTGAAAGCTCAGAAATAAAGCCACACACCTACAACCAACTGAACTTCACCAAGGTTGACAAAAACAAGCAATGGGGAAAGGACTCCCTATTCAATAAATGGTGCTACAATTGTTGGCTGGGGCATAAGCAGAAGAATGAAACTAGACTCTTATCTTTCACCATATGGAAAAATTAACTTAAGATGGATTAAAGATTTAAATGTAAGACTTCAAACTATAAAAATCATAGAAGAAAACTGGCCAGGTACGGTGGCTCACACCTGTAATCCCAGACACTTTGGGAGGCTGAGGCAGGTGGCTCACCTGAGGTTGGGAGTTTGAGACCAGCCTGACCAACATGGAAAAACCCTGTTTCTACTAAAAATACAAAATTAGCTGGGCATGATGGCACATTCCTGTAATCCCAGCTACTCGGGAAGCTGAGGCAGGAGAGTCCCTTGAACCTGGGAGGTGGAAGTTGCGGTGAGCTGAGATTGCACCATTGCACTGCAGCCTGGACAACAAGAGTGAAACTCTGTCTCAAACGCCAAAAAGAAAAAAGAAAAAGAAATCATAGAAGAAAACCTAGGAAATCCCCTTCTTAACATCTTGACAAAGGATTTATGGCTAACTCCCCAAAAGCGATTGACAAAAACAAAAACTGGCAAGTGGGAACTAATTAAACTAAAGAGCTTTGGCACAGCAAAAGAAGTGATCAACAGAGTAACCAGACAGCACGCACAGTGGGACAAATATTCACAAACCATACACCTAATATCCAGAATCTATAAAATACTTAAATCTGTAAGCAAAACATAAAAAAACTCATTAAAAAGATGTGATCAGAGACTTTTCCAAAGCGGATATACAAGTGGCCAACAATATGGAAGAATGCTAATCATCACTAATCATCAGAGAAATGCAAATCAAAACCACAATGAGATACCATCTCACATCAGTCAGAATGGGTATTATTAAAAAAAGTCAAAAAACAACAGATGCTGGTGAGGCTGTGGAGAAAAGGGAACACTTAAACTCTGGTAGTGGGAATGTAGCTTAGTTCAGCTACTGTGGAAAGCAGTTTGAAGATTTCTCAAAGAACTTAAAACAGGGCTACCATTCAATGCAGAAATTCCATGAGAGTATATATCCAAAGGAATATAGATTATTACACCAAAAAGACACATGCACTGATATTTTCATTGCTGTGCTAGTCACCATTGCAAAGACATGGAATCAACCTAGGTGCCCATCAGTGGTGGATTGGATAAAAAAATGTGGTACATATACAACATAGAATACTGCATAGCCATGAAAAAAGGAACCATGTCCTTTGTGACAACATGGATGGAGCTGGAGACCATAATCCTAAAGAAATTAACACCAGAACAGGAAACCAAATACTGCATGTCCTCACTTAGGAGTGGGAGTTAAACATTGAGCACACATGGATATAAACATGAAAACAATAGACGCAGTGGTATCCTGGCTGGGAGAGGGAGCATGGGGGCAAGGTCTGAAAAAGTATCTTCTGGGTACTGTGCTCACTAGCTGGGTCCAGCATGATCAATGAATAATGCTACACATGTATCCCCTGTATCGAAAATAAAAGCTGAAATATAAAGAAAAAAGAAAGGACCTTAATATTTATATGACAATTAAAAAGCGTTTTGTTTTGTTTTGTTTTGTTTTGTTTTTGAGACGGAGTTTCGCTCTTGTTACCCAGGCTGGAGTGCAATGGCGCGATCTCGGCTCACTGCAACCTCCGCCTCCCGGGTTCAGGCAATTCTCCTGCCTCAGCCTCCCGAGTAGCTGGGATTACAGGCACGCACCACCATGCCCAGCTAATTTTTGTATTTTTAGTAGAGACGGGGTTTCACCATGTTGACCAGGATGGTCTCGATCTCTTGACCTCGTGATCCGCCCGCCTCGGCCTCCCAAAGTGCTGGGATTACAGGCGTGAGCCACCGCGCCCGGCTAAAAAGAGACTTTTTTGGGGGGTAAAAATAGCTTATCTTGGAAGCGCAAGCTGAGGACGATCGGCAGCCGGTGCGGGAGCAGCAAGCCTGGTCTCTTCTGATTGAAGGAGGCGGCGCTGGGTTCCAGTGCGGGAAACACACACATACCTCAGAATGCCGGGTCTAAGTTGTAGATTTTATCAACACAAATTTCCTGAGGTGGAAGATGTAGTGATGGTGAATGTAAGATCCATTGCCGAAATGGGTGCTTATGTCAGCTTGCTGGAATACAACACTGAAGGCATGATTCTTCTTAGTGAATTATCCAGAAGGCGTATCCGTTCTATAAACAAACTCATGCGAATTGGCAGGAATGAGTGTGTGGTTGTCATTAGGGGGGACAAAGAAAAAGGATATATAGATTTGTCAAAAAGAAGAGTTTCTCCAGAGGAAGCAATCAAATGTGAAGACAAATTCACAAAATCCAAAACTGTTTATATCATTCTTCGTCGTGTTGCTGAGGTGTTAGAATACACCAAGGATGAGCGGCTGGAAAGCCTATTCCAGAGGACTGCCTGGGTCTTTGATGACAAGTACGAGAGACCCGGATATGGTGCCTATGATGCATTTAAGCATGCAGTCTCAGACCCATCTATTTTGGATAGTTTAGATTTGAATGAAGATGAACGGGAAGTACTCATTAATAATATTAATAGGCGCTTGACCCCACAGGCTGTCAAAATTCGAGCGGATATTGAAGAGGCTTGTTATGGTTATGAAGGCATTGATGCTGTAAAAGAAGCCCTAAGAGCAGGTTTGAATTGTTCTACAGAAGCCATGCCCATTAAGATTAATCTAATAGCTCCTCCTCGGTATGTAATGACTAGGACAACCCTGGAGAGAACAGAAGGCCTTTCTGTCCTCAGTCAAGCAATGGCTGTTATCAAAGAAAAGATTGAGGAAAAGAGGGGTGTGTTCAATG